ATATTTGTTTTTTCTTAGCAGGATTTATTGGTTTATGTGTTTTGGTATCAACTGATTTCAATTCATCCAGAAGTTGTTATAGTTCTTGTTTTAGCATTCTACTACTTTTGTTGTTGCTCTCATTTGAACCATGTACTGTAGTTAAGTTGTCATTATAAGTTATTTACTACCATGTTTTCCCAAAAATAAGACTAGGTCTTATATTAATTTTTGATCCAAAATATGCAGCAGGGCTTATTTTCTGGTTAGGTCTTATTTTGGGGGGAAATAAGGTACTAAATGCATCCATCTGGCTGACAATCTTAACTGGGGCTTATTTTGGGGGTTGGGCTTCTATTACGACCATCCTAGGACTTATTTTCCGGTTAGGTCCTATTTTCGGGAACACAGGGTACCTAAAGGCTGTCTAATTACCATAGTTGAATTATAAATCCTTTTCCTCAAGGGGATTGGCCAGAATTAGACAGATTCCAAAAATTCAGCATCTATATTGTTTCTTGATGGAATCCTAATATCTATCTCAGATACAAAGGAAGCCTACAAAACAAATATGGGCCACTGCTGATGCCTGAGACTGATCTCCATCTGGGTAGGGAAATTCATTGTAATGTTTTGAATCAGTTGTCCAACTATATGTAGCTACTATTTTAACACCAGTGCCCTGATGCACCATTAACTCTGGGCAATGTGAGAATATAAATAAATACAAGCCACAATTATCCAAATATAGAAGGGCCCAAACTGAAAGTAGGACTCCCATGAAAAATCATTTTTTCAAGACTTCTTAATTCAATTCAAATTAATTACAGTAAATTTATTGCTTGATCCCTAATAGTCTATTCCATTCAATACTGGTCAAAAAGAAAGCACTGTTGAACCTTTCAATACACTTCACCAGGAAGTTTCTTTACAGTGGTAGCCAAAGCATATCTGACAAAATTCTTTGGTACCGAAAGCACTTCTTCTGAGCAATTAGGAGACCTGATTGTTCCTTTTCCCATTCCACTCTGAAGTTCAAAAACTGATTTGCATTTATGGAATTATTTATGGCTGGGTGGAAAATATACCAAAGTATAAAATTTCATTTAAGGCATACATCTGGTTTTGCTTAGGGAATGCAAATGTCAAATTACATTGGAAAGATCATTGCAATGCTATTTTACTTTAATATTAATTATTGTATATAGAGGGATGCGGTGGCTCAGTAGCTAAGATGCTGAGCTTGTCGATCAGAAAGGTCGGCAGTTCGGCAGTTCAAATCCATAGTGCCGCATAACGGTGTGAGCTCCCGTTACTTGCTCTAGCTTCTGCCAACCTAGCAGTTCGAAAGCATGTAAAAATACAAGTAGAAAAATAGGAACCATCTTTGGTGGGAAGGTAACAGTATTCTGTGCACCTTTGGCATTTAGTCATGACCACAGAGACAGCGCTGGCACTTTGGCTTTGAAACAGAAATGAGCACCTCCCCCTAGAGTCGGGGAGGACTAGCACATATGTCCAAGGGAAACCTTTACTTTTACCTATTGTATATAGTTTTTCTGTTGTTCGCATGATCAGTATAGTGTACTTCAGTGGTGGGATTCAAATAATTTAACAACCCAGCTGGGTAGGTGTGGCTCAGTGGTCATGTGACTGGGTGGGCGTGGCCAACCCAATGTCACTCAGGTCAATGGGCGCTTCGCCTTAGCTGTTACAATGTAATAAGGGCTAGCCGGAGAGGCAGGTTCTGTAAGCAGGGCAATAAAGATTAGGCTAGAAACAATACCAGAATGTTTCCTTTACAGATTAGCCCTGTAAAGTGGGGAAAAAACAAAATGAGATTTCTTCCAACAACTGGTTCTCCGAACTGCTTAGAAAGTTAACAACCGGTTTTCCCGAATAGGTGTGAACTGGCTGAATCCCACCACTGGTGTACTTGTTTAAGGAGTTGAAGAGTATGATGTTACAAAGTGATATTTTAATGTTCAGGTGTATGTGTATGTACCTGTGTGTGCAGAAAAATAATTCAAATACTTTTCTTCTGGTATTCATCAGCT